TCACTAGGGCAGAAAACGTCAACTTCATTAAAGTAATGACGTAGGATGTCCCCCGTGGCAATTAGGGCCTCCTTTGATAAAATGATTCTTAAAAATCATAAGCCTTCGCTTACGACCGAGACAAACACTTCCATTTAATATAAACACTATAGCAACAATAAAAACTGATGGGGGGAAACCGTGTACTCCAAGTCGTACCCACCCCTCTATGGGTGTAACCGAATCGTCTTCTGGCGGACGGCGTAATAAGGCCATCCAGATCCCCATATAACACCCTACGTGGGTTGTAGAAAATAAAAAAAAAAAAACGGCTAGATTAAAGAAGAAGCGATGAGTTATCGACTTCACGAAAAATTAAACCAGAAACAATAAAACACTACTACACTGGACTTCAAATCAGGCTTCCACCAGATAGAGCTGGCGGAAAAGTACAGGGAAAAAAAGTGGCAAATAAGACGTAAACACTTCAAGCATCTTCAAAGGGAGTGACGTCTTTAGAGAGAGTCTCAAAAATATGCTACGTTTACGTAGACGACGTTATCATATTTTCAAAATAAAAGAAGGACCACACGTCAAGGACGTTGGACTGGGTTCTTTAACCAAGCTCTTAAGGCTCCAGGTATGGTATCCCAGAGAAATCGAGGTTCTTTAAGAGTTCTTTAAGAGAGCGAGCACCTGGGCTTCATGGTGACACAAAGGGGGACTCCACGCTGCACCTGAAAGGTAAAGCTATTAAGGAATTTCCATCACCAAAAACAAAAAAAAACAAAACTACGCCAACCAATGAGGAAGCTCCTTGCCATTGTTTGGGCACTTAAAACTTCCGGAATTATTTATACGGAGCAAGGGTTGCCAGATCTTTACCGATGATCAACCACTTACCTTGCCGTCTCAGAAAAAATCCCAATGCAAAGCTGAAGCGTTGGAAAGGGATTATTGACGACCATGGTGCAAAACTGGTTTATAAACCAGGAAAGAAATTTCGTGGCAGATGTATTATCTCGCCAAAACATTAATACCCTAGAAGACGGACAAAGACGATCCCTGACATACACCATCGAGACAACTGACAACCCAGTAAACTGCTTCCCAAACAAAAAATAATTGAGGGCGAAAATAGTTTCTCAGTGGATACATTCATCTTTTTAAAAGCAAAGTCAGACCATAATCAAACCCAACCTGGAAAATCTGATGGAAGCATTAGAAGATGTTGTTAACGCAGAGGTGATAAACGCGATACATTGCTCCCTACCAACCTTAGCATTTATCCAGCACCGACTAGTGGAGTCCTTCCTAACTTCTTTTTAAGCACCGAAAAACTTCGTACAGGACATAACGAACTCAACCGAACAGAAAGAAATTGTCCTAACGATACACAACAGGGCTCACCGAGCACAGGCACAGGAAAATGTAAAACAAATCCTCAGGGGACTATTTCTTTCCAAGAATGCTTCAAGTTGCTTAGCGACAAAAATAACATCAAACTGCAAAAGCCTGTTCCATGGCAAAATACAAACGCCACCCATCAAAACAAATGGTCACAGAAACTCCTATACCTTCATTCGTTGGGGAAATTCTACACATCGATATTTTCTCAACAGATGGAGCCCCTTTCCTTACATGCATCCACAAATTCTCAAAATTTGCCATAGTGCAAACCATCGCATCAAAGGCCATAGTAGACATAATAGCACCTTTACTACAAATAACAAATTTCTTTCCGAAAACCAAAACAATCTACTGGGATAATGAAAGATCATTACGTTCCGAGACTATTAAGACCATTTTGTTAAATCATTTAAATATCACCATTTCCAACGCATCAAATGGCCATGTAGAGGTTTCATAGCACTCTAGCCGAAATAGCCAGATGGATGCTTGAAACTTGGATGCAAATTAAACGATAGCATAGAACTAATCCTCTTAGCAACCAACAAATACAATAACTCAATCCACTCAGTAAAAAAAACCCCCAGAAATAGTTCACACAAAGCCCATAGAACACAAACAGCCTACTAACATTAGCTTAATAGGAAACGGCACCCTCATAGTAAACGAGGCCAACAATACCATAACCGATGACCAGGACGAGACCAAGGAAATCTGGAACGTACCTGCAGTAACTTATTCAGGCAGAATAAGCCTAAACGGAACTTGGTTTCCGTAAATCAGTTGGGAGGGACTCAATGAAAAAACCCCCTGTGTCGGCCATGACCATGGTCAACATCACGACCCACACCAAGCTCAGCTGAGCCTTCCGTTTCTGCACGAACTGAGTCTGAGAAACCTCCCACCCATTGGGACCCTTAGGGAAGAACTTTCCCTTGGGTTCCTTCGCCAACCTCCCTCCGCCCTACTCGGCTTCATCCTGCTGTGCTCTACCATTTGGCTCAGCTACCGCCACCATAAAGAGCCCACGCCAAATCAGGAATGAACGATGACTTGGAACTATCAGGTCTCGGGACCAGCGACCAGTTAAAGTTAGCTGACCCAGTTCCCAAATTGGGAAACTGCCGAGTTGCGAAACCACATCTAATGGCCAACACGGAATAGGTAAACTGCCGACTCTGCACTCCGGGGACAATCACCCGGAACCCGGCCAGAGAGTGGGGTCAACGTGCGCGCAATGAAGAAACCGCTGACTCTGCACTTTGGGGGCAATCACCCAGAGCCAGGCCAGAGGTGGCTCAACACACGCATTAAGAAATCGTCGACTCCGCACTCTGGAGACAATCCCACGGTTCCCGGCTAGAGAGCTCGCGCAGCGTGATCGTCAGCAACCAGATATCAAATGCTGATCCGGCACTTTGGCGACAGCGCTGCGACCACACGAAGACTTCTAGCTGCAGCCGGATCAGACTATTAGTTTAATTTTAATTCATACTCCGCAGCCGATATAAATATAGTTGATAGCTGCGATCTGCAGCACAGTTTTTGGTCGGCCCGAAACTAGAGGTGGAGAAACATCGATGCGAACATCGATGACATCGATGTTTTCGAAACATCGGGAACATCGATGTTTACCTGAGCAATATCGATGTTTTTCCATTTCTAAGGTACATTGGGGAAGATTGACGAATTGTAAGAACATGTATCACTTAATTTAATGGCAACGCTTTTAAACGTTAGCTTAATAATACTTTAGCGATCCGGCAGCTTCGTGCTATCGTCGACCGTTGTCGATAAGCTCCTCTGTAAAAAAAAAAAGAAAATATACTTATATAGAGAGTTTGGGATAGTAAGTGTAGTTGGGATACTACAATATCCAAAATAACTATATTTCTTTGGTCCATGTGCATGTTTATATTGGAAACATTGATATAAAATTACTTTTTTTTTAATTTAAAAACTAAGAATAGTAACAATATACCAAAAAGTGGAACATGAATATCAAGAACAGTTTTTATTCTTAATTTATTTTGTCTTTTTCGGTTTTTTATTTAATAAGTGATTAATAAAATTGGATATTTTTTGTTGAAATTTGACTTTTAGTTTTTAAACATAACAAATTAAAACAAAAGTTCAAATACACAACATCACTTCAATTTTTTTAAAACATCGAAAGTTTTATCGATGTTTTCCCCAAAGAATCGAAAACATCGATTCCGTAATGTATCGATGTTTCTCCTCCTCTTCACGAAACATAGTGTCATCCACTAGCGCTGGGAAACAATCGAAGGTACTATCGAGTATCGAGTATTTGGATTTCGGAGGCTCACTATCGATGGTAATATTGCATACTTGGTCTACAAAAATATTTGCCTATGAAACGACCATGTTTTTTTTCTCGCACGGAAATATTTGTCAGGAAGGGGCTTTTGTCAGGGAAGCGACATTTTCTTTTGCTCGCACGAAAATATTTGTCAGGGAAGCAACCTTTTTCTTTTGCTCGCGAGCGCCAACTGTTCATAAAGGCTAGTATTGATACTATCGAATTTTGCTTCAGAAACCATTGACACATCGATAGGTTTTCCCAGCTCTTTTATGTTAGCCTAAATGAACTGCATGAAATAAATAGCTTTAAAAAATTCTGAAAATTATTTTTGTTATGTAACTTTTTATCTTTAAGAAGTTGATTTTTCTTAAGCTTAGCCGCAATAACAATCTGAAATATTGTTTTTTCGCCTGCACGAAATAAGATACCAGACCACTGTATATACAAATGTAATTAACACATCATGATACTTGAATAGCTAGAAACACTCAAGTGTAAACGGGCCTTTTGTGAAAAGGCAATAGAGTGGGACAGATAAGGGGGAAAGATAAATGCAAGAAATGTAACATATAAACGCACAATAATTGTCTTCAACGTGCTCTTTTATGAAAAGGAACAGGAAAGTTAAAAATTTGTAGTGCCTTTTCTTAAGCTTAGTTATTTTTCACAAACGTATTTATATTGTGATAGTGAAATAAAATAATAGTTATTATGGAAAAAAGTAAACAGTGTTACATGTTTCAGAAGCGGACTAAATGGAGTGAACCCTTTCTATTTAACAGTAGGGACAGTATTTTTGAAGTAATTTTTAAAACCGTTAATTTGCTACAGCAAGAAGCTCAAAGCTTAACTCAGTCTAAATATGTGAAATCACTTTGGCAAGCGTGTATGGTGCTCGGTTCGGTAACAATAAAAAGTACATTGTTAATTTCGTTAATTATGATTATCTTTTTTGTTAATGGTATAAATGGAACTTCTGTGGAAAAAGTTTTTTTGCGGAAAAGTAATGATTACAACTTGGCATTGGTGTCATCCGCCCAGAAATCGGAAAGGCAAGTTTTTCCCATTAATCATTTTATTAAGATTATATATTGTAAATACATCCATATATTCTTGTATAATAATATATAATATAATTATATATACATATGTACATGCATGTATGTATGAACATTTGTATAAAATCTAATCCAATGTATATATATATATATGTATGTATGAAAATACATACATATATATACTCAACTTTCCGGACATATCTGGTTATGGGCTGTTTAAACCCAATGCTCTACCAGATTACATTTTATTTAATTTATTATTATATTACATTTATTTTCTTAAATAATTGACGTATTTTACTTACTTTGCACGCAACAATAACACTTCAATACTTTAATACTTAAATATTCCGTTTTTTATTCAACTTCAAACGCAAATAAAATGGTTGAAGGTAACTAAAAAAAACATGTGGTACAGAAAAGCTTATGAGTTACCTGTTTATACATATGTATGTATATATATGTACATATATACAATCGGCACATAATTTATTCGTACACCCATGAGTTGGAAGTTTATTCCTTAATATGTATCTCGAGAAAAACGTAACGGAAATTAAAACGTAATATCTCAAATAAAAGATACACATTTCGAGAACATATTTTAAACATAAAATTAACAAGTTTTAACTTTAATACTAGATAATATCCTCAATAACACAAAAAAGTCATTTTTTTATGCACAAACATTATTTGTACACTTCTTCGTCTTGACTTCTATTTATTTCTATTTCTGAATCCAACGGTAATCCGCGATTCATTTATGAACAGTACTTCGGAGCAAACTTCAGTGTACTATTCTCAAAGTTATTTAGTTAGTTTCGCTGCTTTTTTTTTGCTGTAATTGGACGAAATGGGTCGGGGTCAAGATGTATCTCTAAATTTTCGAAAAACTATAAAAAATTGTTAATATATTTAGCGAACCGGAATTAACTCGAAATTGGTAGAAATATTGTCAAGTCACCTTCCACAAGCACGTAAGCATTGCAGAATTTGCAGTAGAACATAGGGAAGGAACCACATACTGACACCACGGGAGGAGCATAAAGTTGTAAGTACGGCATTACAAAATCCCAGAATAACATCCACAACAATTCTTAAAACCCTAAAGAAGCCGTCAAAAAAAAAAATTTTGTACCCAAACCATCCGGAACACCCTGCACAATGCTGGTCTACATGGTAGAGTTGTTCGTAAAAACCCATTGATTTCTGATTACAACAAAAAATGCGTTTGGAGATCGCAAAAGTGCATGTAAGCAAGCCGGAACTATTTTGGGAAAACGTTATATTTATTGACAAAATTAAAAATTTTTTGACACAGCGGTCCTTTTAAAGTATGTCAAAAGGCAAATGAAGGAAAAAACTTGACTCCAACTTTTAAGCACGTTGGCCAGAATGTGATGGTTTATGGGTGTATAGCTCCAGGTGGAGTGGGTCGAATGGTCTTTTTGGAAGATAAAATTAATCAATTTATGTATAAAGACATTTTAGGCCAAAATTTAATTCCAAGTGCCCTTGGACAGAACCCAGCGTCTTTCGTATTTCAATAAGATAATCACCCGATATATTTTAAGTGCCTTTTATATCACTGCAAGGAGCAAAAACCGACTCTACAATCACCAGATTTCAATCCCATTGAACATTTATGGGATATCCTCCAGAAAAGGACAACATATCCTCGAAGGAAACCTTAAAACCCGCATTTATACCTGAAGGGGATTCAATTAATGCTGACGAGACAAGCAACTTTATAAAAAGCATGTGTCGACGTTTACAAGCTTCCATTAAGGCCAACGATGGACCCACTAAAGATTATAATCTTTAAATCTTTGAAATTTTTTTTTCAACATTTTATAAAGTGTACGAATAATTTTTGTGCGTAAAAATGACTTTTTTGTTATTAAGGAAATTATCTAGTATTAAAGTTAAAACTTGTTAATTTTATATTTAAAATATATTCTCGAAATGTGTATTTATTTTCATTTGAGATATTACATTTTAATTTCCGTTACGTATTTCTCGAGATATTAAGCAATAAACTTGCAACTCATGGGTGTACAAATAAATTATGTACAGACTGAATATTCATTATTATATTATATATATAAGAATATTATTTAAAATTTAAAGAAAAATCAAAGAAAAAACACGAAATTTACGTTATTGAAATATTCTGTTTCTTTTATATGTAACTAGAAATAACAACTTTAAAACAAAATTATCCTAATATTTGGTAAGATAGCCATTATTATACCCGATACTAGATTCGATGAAAAGTATGTAACCCTGTAAAGTATACATATATATTCTTGATCAGGATCAATTGCAAAGTGGATTCGATTCGATTTCTAAATCGATTTAATCGATATTTTTGGATGAGCGAAAATATCGATTCTTTTTTAGAGAATCGATGCATCGACAAGTTTGCTCACCTTAAAAAAAATTAAGTAAACAAAAAATTATTTTAAAGTAATATAACTCAAGTAAACTAATAAATATTAATAACTTCCAGAATCAATGTGTGTTGGTGTTGAGGAAAAATAAGAGAGATTGATAACTATGTTCGTTTTCCAAATAAATAATGTAGATTTTTATCTGCGCTGGAGGCATAGTCACCTACCGAAGAGGCGTCCTTGAAACCCAAAAACGTAGGCAAGCTTTTACTCACAAATAAAAAATCTTGGGTTTTAAATAAATAAACAAAAATATTGATCTCTAATACATTTTTTAACGAATTTTACCTTTGTATGCAACTGTAAATTCCATTTTTTCTTACCACTTTTTAAGCAAAATATACCTTTTCCATTAAAAAATGTTTTCATGACAAAGCGAGGAGATTTTACATAAGAAACTGTTACTTTGTGTGACATGTGCTCAAACCAAGACGAGTACAAAGATTCAGGTCTTCAGGTCTAAATTTCTACCTAATTTAGCCTTGAGCATCGAAACTAGGGTGGGTTTCCTAAGCACATTTGTACAAAATAAAACAGCTCGAAGAATACACTTAACCCAATAAACAAGTCAACGCGCTGACTTTTGTAGAAGAAAGGTGCCTTCCATTCAGATGCGTTAATTTGGTTGATTGATAATCGGTGATTGACTGGGTAAATATTGATTGTGCGAAAATATTAGCCGACCTATCCGATGATATCGGGGACTCGCCGATTCCTGATATGGAGATGGTTGAGCGATGGATTTGGAGTTGCAGTTGATTTGCGAAAAGAGAGGTGACGAAGTTTATTTAAGAGGCCGAATCGAGTAAGGCCCGGCATGGTACGAATACGGCAGAGCGGTTTTTGACATAAACTATTGCGGTGGCAAGCATCACGTAATCGTTATTATTTGGCAACAGAGCTACATGTGGTGGTTTGGGAAGGTCTACAGAGCACGCTGCGGAAAAGGTGCTGTGGAATTCGATTGCATATGTTGAAGTGTGTGATGCTTCTGATGGCTGTTCCTACAGCTACCAGATCTGTATTGGCGTAAGCTGTGTCCCTTCCGTAGGCAATTTAAACAAATGTGCATTCTTTTTGCTTCGGTGTAGCACTGTCTTGGAGTCAATCGTCGAAGTTTTAGACATTTCGTTAAAAAATGGTCCTTGGACTCACATAGGGTACACAAAGGCCCTGTCATAATTGCTCCATTGTTCGAATTGAAAATTTTGGAATTTTTCCATATTTAACAAATTTTTGTTTGTTCCCACTACCAACATAGCGTAGAAGTCCGGCCAATCGAAGTATGCTCCACCAAATCGCGGAAGTCTGGTAAGCCTCGAATTGCTTTTAAAGGCGTCACTGATGCCATGCAATTCGGTTGAATTTGCCATGGACTTTTTTTCGCTGTTTATGTAGCGGCAGATTCTCCTTTTTATTTTACAGTACGCGGGTCGAATTCGATCTGCGCGATTACTAGCCGTTCGAGGTTAAGTTGAGACTAGTTCTAAACGACTCTGAACTTCACTTTCATCAAATTTGGCCAACTGTTCGTCACTTAGGAGTGAATTTAAATCCGCGTGTTTACGAGCCACGGCGCTTGACTTTTCCCAATAAAAGTCTTCGTTATCTGTGGAACGTTGAACAAGCTCTTTTTTATTTGCATCCGACAATTCAAATTAGTTTCGGAAACAGTATGCAACAGGCTAACGAGAATAGAAACAGGGGATAGAAAGGAACCGAAAAAAGAAAAACCTCCGTTTAACAAACGAAATTATATAACGCTTAGCGTTGGGAAAAAGTTTTTGAAATGTACACAAGCCGATTCTGACCGTAACTTTGGTTTTGCAGGCATAAGCGAATACCGTACAAACGGTGCGAATGTTTATCGAATGCTCTCGCTGATGCGTGAGATCACGAGACCGCAAGCGGAGAACACGCATGTCGCTAGTCTAACGCGAACGCCTTTTACGCGTTTTTATAGTTATGGCATGGTTAAAAATTCGTACTGTCCTTCCGGTGTAACGAATTAAATCTGGGTGTACCGGGATTCCACTTGCCATATCTATACACGAAAAATATCTTGCGCCACGAAGGCGAGCTATCTAATGTGATATGAGGGGCAACGGATATCTGTCGGCAATTATATTGTCGTTTAAAATGCGGTAGGCAACATTGCCATTTTTTTTTCTTGACTAACATCATATGACTAGCGAAAGATGAACAGCTAGGTTGAAAGAAATTATATCTAAGCAATTCATCAATTTTACACCGAACGTTCTTCTCATCTTTGCTGAAACTGTAAGGTCGGCGTTGCACGGTCTTCTGTGGGTCCTTTAATCTTTTTTCTAATTTTTCTGTCGTCATACAAGTCTGTGGTATTTCATCGATAAACCTAAAAGAGTAACATTTCAACATGTTGTTCAGCAATATCTTACCGGGTTAAATAGACGGCAGAATTTTTTTTTCGCGACTCCCGTTGCTTGACGTGCAACCCACCTCCCTCCCAACCGAGGGGCGCAGCTGTCTGACGTACGGCTCGGAACACATGGATATATCCGAGGGAATTATTAAAGATACGAGGAAAAGTTAGTTTTGTGCTAAATGGATTAGTATCGAAACTTTTAAAGTGCTAGGAGAAGAGTTAGAAGTAATGTTATAAAGATTATTGTAGTTCGAACATAGTACTCGAAAGGTTCATGCTGGGCGAAGTTCGAACTACAATGCTCTAAGGATAGAGGAATAAATTTCTAGTAATCCTAAGGGGTATGTGTATATTCCAGCGACCCTAAAGAAGACTATGGATAAAGACGACACCAAGCATCGTCCTACGATTAGCGAGGGATGGCAAATCAATTAGTAGAAGTCTACTTTAATAAGATGGGAGGTGTAAGTTTGTATCCCAGTTGAGACCACGGAGAGCAAATATTAAAAAATTCTTTTGCATGGATTCAATAAGACACTGGTAAACTCAATACTGGGGGTCCCAGATACACGATCCATATTCAAGAATCGGACGAACTAAAGAAATGAAAAGTATTTTGGTAACATAGGGGTCGTTAAATTCCTTCGACCACCCTTTAATGAAACCAAGCACTCCTCTAGCTTTATTAGCCATAGAGGAAATATAGTCGGAAAACTTAAGTTTTGCATAGAGTAAGATGCCAAGATCTTCAACTACATTAATTCTTTTCAGAGCTACACCATGCAGAGTATAAGTGGCAACTTTAGGTCTTAGGCGACAGAAGGTCATTGCTTTGCACTTAGAGCCATTAAGATTTAGTAAGTTTGCAGTGCACCAATTTTTAAAATTGTTAAGGCCACATTGCTGTTTTACCTAGTAAGAGGCAACGGTATATTGCAGAGTTTGACATCATGTGCATACATAAGTACTACGGAGTCGTTAACAAACAAAGAAATGTCATTAATGAATAATGTAAAAAGTAACAGACCAAGATGGCTCCCCTGAGGGACTAAAGCAGACACTGAATTTTCAAAAAGACCTCGTTGCCTTCTGCCAGTGATGTAACTGCGAATCCAACGCAGAAGATCCGAAGGAAATCCGATAAGATCAAGTTCTCCTAAAAGACGCCTAAAAACGCTTTACTGAAGTCAGTGTAAATGACATCCGTCTGAAGTTTATTTTGAACACCAGTGATCACAAAGGATGTTAGTTCCAGAAGATTGGTTGTGGTAGACCGTTGTTTCATGAAGCCATGCTAGCATGAGATGACAGTTCTACACTGGTGCTGCAAGTGAAGCACAAGAATTTTTTCGAAAAGTTTTGGAATTGCTGATAGTTTAGAATCCAATTTTTTCTTTCTTGTAAAGGGGAATAATAAGGGACTCTTCCAGATAGCTAGAAACGTGGACGTTTCCAAGAAAAGGTAAAATAATTTTAAAAGGGGTTTGCCCAGGGTAGAAGAGCAGTACCTAAGCACACAGCCAGGTACCCTGTCTGGACCCGGCTTCAAATTCTGGAGATCCTTATTGATTCCAGATTCCGACAAGGTGGGTCGGGAATTAAGATTCGTAAGATTCATAAGCGTAAGTCGGTGCGGTTGCTAACAATGGTGAGTAAATGGTTTAAAAAAATTGAGAAAAATTATCGGCCCTTTCCTGATCCGTGCTTGCAGTAGATTTTCCAAACGATAGCAAAGACGGAAAGGTTTTAGGTTTACGCTTAGTGTTAACGAAACTATATAACTGTTTTGGATCCAGAGCAAACTGGTTCTTACATCGAGCTAAATAGTTCTTATAACACTGAGTGTTATGCACGTTAAAGTTAGACCGAGCCACCATATAATGCACATAACAGTCATTGCTATTAATTCTTAAGTATTTTTTTAAAAACTCTTAACTTTATGTTTTTTTCGATTACAAAGGTGCCTTCTGTACCAAGGGGGAGTATTCTCCATAGCCGGATACCGCA